CCCCCCTCCTTAAAAAAGGGGTCCAACGGGATCACCAAAAGATCCTAAACCAGACAACCTACACACAAAGTTAAAGCAGTTAGCAACCATATTCACTGAAGAAGTCAAATGTTTACCGACAACCTGATAAGCGCATCCTCCAAACAGTCAAATCCAAATGCAGATTTTCGAGACCAACTCAAAATGGTCAAGTGCAACACATACAAAATCAAAGCCGTTACCAGCCAAATTCACTGTTTAAACCAAATGTTTACTGACAAGCCGATAAGCGCATATTCCAAACAGTCAAACAAATGTAGATTTCCAAGACCAACGTAAATGGTCAACCACAAACTGCATCACTCACAACTTTGTTCCTCAAACGTCAGCCCAGCTCTCTGCACAACCATTCTAACTGCCACACCCAGGCAAGGCTCCCTCTCCTCAAACACACCTGGCTCAAACAAAGACCACACAACCAAATCCCAAATGTCATCTATACTTTATTTTTCTCTCCAAGACTAAAATGATCAACTATTGGAAGTAATCTTTCTTGCAGCCACAGAAACCATAATTTTAAATGTGCCATTACAGATAGTTGAGTGCTAACCAATAAACACAGAAATGATGCTCTTCAGAGAGTTTCCCCCTGACTGTCTGACCAAAACTTACTAGAAACTCACCCCTAGTCTTCATGTGGTTCTGCGGTGGGTATATTAAGCACCAAACCAGCGAGTCTGTGAAGCCACCTGCAGCAGGCAACCCCACAAAACTACACGGAGTGCCCCCGAGATAGCTGTCCAAAGACAACCAACACTAACCGCTCCCCACAGCACTACCAAAACAAAAAACTGACACAACCCAAAGAGGATGTGTCCTTTAGCCTACCGGAGAAATCTCAGTAAGTAGAGCATCAAGACAACAACACTCACCTTCTGGATGGCACCAAACAGTCAACGTTAAGTTACAAGCAACACAAAGTGTGTCTCCCCCAAAACCACTGCAGTCTTCCAAAGCATGCAGCAGAGTCAAAGCCAGTCCTCAGCTGGACCAAATCTACTAATCAGTGGGCAATCAATAGCATGTACCCACTGCTACCGAAGATACAAGAGACAGACAAAATACCTGAATAGATGTAGTGATCTCAGTGGACGAGCCCCCATTTGTTACGACCTGGCTCAAGACGGCCGCAACAAAAGGAGAGACACACCAAGTTTCAAAATTAAA